TTCTCTTTTTTTAATCTTTTCAGCCTGCTCAATTAATTTGGAATCTGTTTTTTAAAGGCTTTATTTTCTAGGAAAAGGCTTCTCAGTGTTCTCATGGGATGTGTGATATTTTTAATGCATTACTTCTCTTCTAGCACTGCAGCAGAAAGCAAGAAAAACCGAAGAACTTTCTTGCTGTTTTGGTGTTACCAGTTCCGCAGCAGGGGGTTTGCAGCATCTGCCTGCTATTATTTATGCAATGCCTAGGGGCATTAAACTGGGGCCAGAGAACATAGAACCAACAGGAGAGTGTAGGATGAACAACAGTATAAGTGGGGAGGTAGAATATAGTTAGGCAAATGAAATGCATGACCTCTGTCATTGCCTACTACAGATGAGAGAAAATGGGCAGTTGGAGGGTATCTCTTCCTCCAGGGAATCATTTTGCTGAGCAGCTTCAAAGAAAAAACAGCCACAGAGCTATTTGTGTGTGTTTTCACCCTGGGATGCCAGGCATCCATTAGGGCTAAGAGAGAAGAAATGAGAGACAGGTGACTATCCTTCCAAGGTAGCAGAAGGCACAGTGAGCACAGAGCAGGTTTCTGCTACAGCTGCTTCACAGCCACCCAGCACTGGCCTAAGGCAGGATCTCATCCTGTAAAGGTTTAGGAAAACACCACTCTGCAGGACATGTCAAACTCATTCTGCAGAGAGAGATCCTCAGAAGCTTTTCAACCATCTGTGGAAGATCCTAAATCCTAATGGCAAGAGGAGGGACACAGAGAAGTGAGGTTTCATATGCTTTTATTAAAGTGCCTGGGACTTGACATTGCCATTTGGACTAGCTCCTATTCCACAAACTTCTGACAGCTTACCTGGAAAGAACTGCAAGGGTGTAAAGGAGACAGCATATAACTAAGAACATTGTATTATGTCTCACAATATTAAGAAATAACTCAAAGTACAGGTGCCATATGTTTCCATTGCAAATATGGCTTGTATTTCGCAAAGCAGCTTTGCAGGAGAATAGGGCGAGTTGGTTCATATCCAACTAGGGAGTATCTTTTTAATGGCACCACACTGCTGGATAAGTATGTATGAACAGGGAGGCCTCCTAGCTGCCTCATGGACAGAATACCCTTCACGTTTCCTCAGCACATTTTATATAGTCTTTATATGGGGCCAAGTCCTAGGGAGTTTCTGGCCCCTAACACCAAAGGGTTAGAATCTCAACAGTGACCAGAAGCAATATCCAAGAAAATTATTCTATGGTGGGAGGCTCACTGCCTAAGTTTAAAATGTGGTGCCTCAAGATAGGCATTCCAGAAGTTGCTACTGACTCAGGCTCACAAATGTATTTTGCAGGGCGATGAAGCAAAGTGCTGTACTAAGATGGGTGCCAGGCAGCCTCAGAACAGCCATGTGAAGCTGCCCTGTTCAGACTTTTGTTTCTGCTCTGGGATGGGACTTGTCTCAGTCCCAAAGGTGTTAGCATGATGGGCTGCACATGGAGACGCAGCCAGGGTTTGTTTTACATTGTTTGCTTTCTGTAAAAGTTCCCACTATGCAAAAACCTTTATAGCATTTATCTCTTTGTCTTAGTGTGGCCATTTCACCCTGTTTTACTTATTTCTAAAGGAACGCTGTTTCCTTGGAAGGCCAGGAAGCAGAGCACACCTGCTATATTAGCCCTCAGCCCAGCTCTGCTCATACCTTCCCCCATAGTTTTGCATTACCAACTCCAACCTCTTTTCTTCTGTCTACCCGCTCGTACAGCAAGGTGATTTGTGAGGCTTAATTCATGTTAGGCTAACACTGCGTAGCCTTCAAAAGAAAGGCAGAATAATATGGTGCAAGCTACATTTTCATTTAAAAGTTCTCATAATATCTTCTTTGATAGCCATCAAAATTACGATTAAAAAAACCCCGTATCTTGTGGGTGGAAAAACTTACCTCTTATGCATGATTCAATACTACGGAGTGGGATTGTTCGTTCCCGTGAGCCCCATTTGTTAAGCAGCTCTTAACACAAATATGTTGGCTCACTCAGAAGATCTGTCACTTTCTGCTTTTAAGTATCTGTCACTTGATCCACAAAGACAGGGCTTCTTTTTATTCTCCTCTAGAAATTTTTCAACAGAAGTCACTTGCTTTGCTGTCCCATCTCCAACCAACAAGTGCTCAGAGGTGAAGGAAAAGACATGGCAAATGACAGTCCCAATAAAGAACAGACATGGAAGCAAGGAAACACCCTGCTAGCTCTACAGAGTTCAGGATTCCTAAAACCAACATGATGAGCATGTTCGTGCAAAACTCCTTGCTGTAGCAGGCTCTGTGGATCGTTCCCAGTATCAGACTATAAAGCAATTTATGTTTCCCTTTAAAACACCTCCCAACACATTTTTTTTTGCATTCTACATTCATGTAGTTACCGCCCTCTGGCGGAAAAGATACAGAATAAGAACGATTAGAAAAGAGTAAGTAAAAACGGCACAAAAGACACGACTGCCTCTTGAATACTTATGTCCATCTGTGCAAAGAAGTGTGAAATGGTACCCATGAACTGCATGGTGTTACAGAGCTTCTTTACACTCACTTCAAAATGCTGGGAGTAACTATGAGCTCCCAGCAGCTGTAGAACCACATCTTTGACAAGTAAATCTTCACATTGGTTAATTTGTTTTATTTTAAAATGTTTAGAAAGAAAAGTATAAAAAAAAATATTTCTTTTTAGTTAAACTGAGTATATGAATCACATACTTAAAGTAAAAGTGTAAGTGCAGGTTTCATATTCACAGCAAGCACACGAAATACATCTAGCAGACAAAGAGATACAGAGAAAGGGGCAGTATCTTTGGCTAAGCTCAGTGGTGTGGCAGCCAGGTGCCAGGGCATCTTGTTGTTATTTTGGTTTTATTTATCAAAGCAGTGAGAAAGACAACCCAGAACAAGAGAAAACATGGAGTACTGGGAAATTGATCCCTCCAAAAAGAATCGATGTGCCCAAGGACATGCAACTATTCATACATAAGAAGTAGAAATAGTCTAAAGTAATAGGAATAATTTAATTCCAAGGCCTATAATGGCTGTCCAGAGAGCTCGGAGTGATTACTTAAAAATACTATTATGAAATCCCTAGGTGGGCCACTGTAAGTAGCTGGTGAAAGTTAATTTCAAACCCAACTGGCTGGTTCCCAACCATCAACTGGGCGATTTTCTTGCCCAGGCAATCAATGCCAATAACTGCTTAGAGCGTGTAGCAAAGCACTTAGAACCAAAACTGAAGGGAAAGTCCATGGACACATACAATTAGAAAAATATAATCATAAATCCACTGGCACTAAAGAAAAACCTCTTATCCAGAACATCCTAGATGTTTTAGCAACTTGACAATGTTGGTGTCTAAACTGAAATAAAACCAAAATATTTAAATCAGAGTAAGTAAACTCATGAATGAGAATATTGCTATTTAAACAGTGAAGCAGTCACATCAGAGTGTTTTTAAATAATGCATCTTGCGAAGATACATCCTTCTATGCATGCACATGCATGCATTTATACACAGGCCACACACAAGTCCTGGCTTCCTGCTCCTTTTGTTGCCTCTTCTGGTGATACTGATGTCTGTCTGGAAGTTCATGTCCCTGTGGGTTAACCATTTGTGCACGGATCATTTCTTTGCAGTATTTACAGCGGTTTGGACAGTAGGCATTTTCCTGAGCAATCACAGCTCACAACATCTCATGAGCTCCTTGTTCCTTCCTCAGTCAAGGCTTAATAACTCTACCAAATTTTTAAGTGGGAACGCTTTAGTTCCAGGTCTCTGTTTAACCGTTATGTCCTTGGACTTGGCCTCTCCAAGCAAATTTCCTACCACTACCTGCCCGATTCGCTGGATGGATGGTTTCCTCTTATTTACAGAGAGACATTCAGCTGAATTTCAGGATTTAATTTTTTTTCATTAGATTTCCTTTAAAAAAAAATCCCCAGTACCATTTTGTTTTCTATTTGATGGAACAATCGCCCAACCCTATCCCATGAAGTAGCCGCTGTTAATGGAAGCCAGGTACTGGCAGCAAATCCATCCTCCAACAAATATTTACTGAAATGGGTTCTGGGGAAAGGGGATCGCTCACAGCACCGCGGCCCGAAGCCCGACCGCTCCCTCCCTCGGGGCGGGGGGGTTAAAAAACCAAAACTGAGGTAAAAAGGTAAAGAAACGCACCCAGCGCTCACCCGGGCGCGATCCAGGACTCGGCTCCCCCCTTCCCTTCCCACAGGTCGACCTTGAGGAGCGGCGCCCGAGGGTTTTTAACCGCCTTCCGTTGCGCCCGTTGCCCAACGGCCGTTACGCGGAGGCGCGCGCGGCTCCCCCGCGCGCACACACACACGCGCGCGCGCGCGGGCGGCAACGCCTCAGCCCCCTCGTCCCTCCGCTTCGGGCCCGCCGAGGGGCTCCGGCACCGCAGCACCGCTCCCGGCCTCGCCGGCGCCCCCTGGTGTCCGCCGCCGACCTCG